TTATCGCGCATAGCTAAGCGCAGATAAGCATCGCGTGTGTGACTGGCTGCGTCTCTGCGCTGACCCAATGAGCCGATTGGGGCTCGTGGGTTTAAGCTTTGGGCATGTCTGGCTTTGTTTTGAGCTTTGGTCTTTTGTGGGTGCGATAAGGAGATGGGAGGGATGATGGGATGGGGGCGGGTGAGGTCGGAGGCTAAGGACTCGACTTGTAGACTCTGTGGCCGATTTCGCGGGAGTGTTATATGTAGATGGTTGGGGGGATGTGTGGGTTTCGTGTTTTTATTTTTCTGGGTTTGCTTTGTTGCAAGGTTGGATCAAGAGGGTTTTGTTGGACTATATAAGCCAACTTGCATGTCTGTATTGGAATCACTTTGATATCTCGATACCTCGATTCCAAAAACCTCGAAAGCTCGACGCCTTGATAGCTGCCTCAAACCCTCAAAACTCGATACCTACTTCAAAACTTCAACACTCGACACCTCAAAAACTCAACCCTCAACCCTCAAAACCAACCCACCACCACAATGTCCAAAACTCCCTCCTCAGACCCCTGCATCTTCTACGGTCGCGGCGGCGCCGGCAACATGCGTACGTCCCCCCATCCAACACACCCTCCCCTCCCCAGCTCCCCGACTAACATCACCTCCTTCCAGGCCGCCGCTCCTCCATAACCAGCGCCTGGTCGAAAATCGCCTCGCAGGCCTCCTCGAACCCCACAAAACTGGTGTTGACCTCCAGTCCGGAGACGCACTATGCGAATTCAAAGTCTGAGCGTCGTGTGTCGTCATCGGCGTCGTCATCGTCGTCGTTGGCGCGGTCGGCGGAGAGAGAGGCTGGGGGTGAGGGGCGCCGGAGAGCGAGTAGTTTGGGGTCGGTGGGGGAAGGGGGGAAGGGGGGGTTTAGGGGGTTGTTTTTGAGGGGGAGGGGGAGGGGTGCGGGGCGGAAAGAGTAGGGACGGAGTAGGGAAGAAAAGAGTGGTTTGGGTGATGGGAGTTGTGGCAATTTCGGGCTTGCGACTTGTTTGGCATCTCTGTTGTTAGATTTGGATAGGTTGGTTTTATTAGCGAGTGATACCATGTTGAATCTTTTGTTAGATGTCTGGTCTTGCTTTGCTGTGTTGGGCTTTTTTTTTTCGGGGAATAAGGGAAGCTTTGATGGAGAAGGATGAGATTTGTTGGTCGAGAATTAGGCTATTTCATTTTTTTTTTACACTCTACATCGTAACATCGTGAGGAATACTTCGACTTTTGTCTATAATTACAATGACGAATGCACATGGCTCCTAGAGCTTTGCAGTCTCAACGGGATTTCCTGTAGCTCCAACTCTCTTAAGTGCGTTCCACAACCTCATGCCCTCCTCTAATCTTGTATCCTCCTCAATCATTACACTTCCGTCACGCTTCAGTGTACGTAACTGCAGCGCATGCTCCGTCCCCCAGTCCATATTCCCATTTTGCAAAAAGCTACTCAACGGCCCAAGGAATGATTTCACCACAACTTCTTTCTCATCCTGTTCCAGCTCACGTCCGTTGCCAAAAAACCAAATTGCCATGTCGGAAGCATGACTTGCACCGAAGCTGGGGGGCATGTCTTTATCGACACATTTTGCCCGCCACTCGATACGATACCTGTGGATAAGGTCTCCAGCTCCATGCTTGACAAGCGCAGTCACCAAGCCCCGCTCCAAAGCATGGACTTGAACATCTGCGTAGATGTGTCCAAAGGCAGCCTGCCAGCTCTTATACTTTGACGGCAACTTTCCACCAGGGAAGTATTCCGACATGAGGACTCTGCTGGCGTCACGCGAATAGTCGGCTTCCAGACGGGCCAACATGTTGTCAAACCCAGATTGTGGCGGCCGCCAGGTGCCGTAGACATGGTGTTCATCACTGCATTCGCCGATGATGAGCTTGACGCCTCGTTTCTTCATGCGTTGGGCAAAAATGCCGTTTGAGAGCTCGTTGAGGAGGCCGTGGCGGACGAAGCTACCATCCGTGACGGCGCGGAACTGATGTAACTGGATTTTGTATGTTGCTTCTACTAGAGTGTCCGTTGGCAAGGAACGAAGACGAGCCAGCTTCTCTTGAACTGGCAGGTCTACCGGTACATTCAAAGCCTCCAGTAGCTGGCCAGACTGGACCTGTGCTTCGTCTAGACTTTTAGGCTGCATACCAGGGCCATTCGATAGCATGAGTGCTCGCTTGACAATAGCCTTCTTATCCGCCACACCGAGATCGTACGCCAGCTGGTAGAATACCGAATGTGAGCCGGCAGAATATCCACCAATAGTGATATTTGAGGCATCGCCACCAAAGTAGCTGATGTTCTCATACGTCCATTGCAGCGCCATGCGCTGATCCCAGAAGCCGAGATTGACCTCAGCATCCGGACACGATTCGAACATGTCCTTGAAGGCAAGAAAACCAAACACGTTCAGGCGGTAGGCAGGCGCCACAATGATGCACTTGACCGGTGATTCGCTCAATAGCGCCCGGCAGTCCATGCGATTCGGGCTACCCCACTGCAGGAAGCCGCCATCTGTGCCACAAAAGTCAAGTCAGTGTTTTGTGCAATCTAGCTTTTGTGATTCGTATCTTCGTGAATACTCGCAACAGTATCATTCAGATTAGCCGGCAAACTAACAGAAACAATGTTGATGCTGACTCGTGACAAAACGGCTGTGCCAAGTGCTAGATACCGTACCTATACGGCGAGAGAACACTTACGAATCCAGAACAGAACCGGCCAGCCTAACGACGCGTCAATTGAGCATCACTATTCATTTGAAGTTGTTCATACCCGCAGCCGGTGGGTCTCCACATGGAATCCAGATGCTACTTTGCAAGCAATCCTCATCCCACATGGCCACCTTAAGCTTTCCGTCAGAATCGCGGTCACCGGGCTGCGGACAGATTCCACAGCCACCTGTGAAACGGCCGGGATTCGCTTTCGTACCGTAGCGGTAGCATGGTGGTAGCGACCTAGGCTTTTGAAAGCGAAAGGGTCCTACAGGAGGTAGGGCGTAGGGTACGCCGCCGAAGAAGTGACAAAGTGGCTCGGATTGCGAATTGACATAAGTGAGGCCTTCGACGATGCCGCGGAATTGGACATCATGGATGAAGGGCTTGGAGGATGTGGTCATGATATCTTGCGCGAGGGGGATTCGGTAATGGTGATTGCGGTTACATGGACGTGATGCTGGATTGACTGCCTTTGCGAGACGAACCTCGGTTACCCACCGGTAGTTACTTAGCCTGTGGGGCCTTGCCCGTTGGAGTGTCAGTGTCAGCATCAGGACCGGCTTTATTTCAGGTAGCTATAAACATGTTGCACTTTTCTCTCAAGATGTTGAATGCATGTTCATCAAAGGCCGTGGAATTCATCATCTACTCAAACAAAGTGGCCGTCCATTTTTTAAAAAAAAAGCTACGCCCAACTATCCTGTCGGTTCCTCGATGTAGAACGTCCATTCTCGGCAGTCACGCTTACGAGCGTGGTCTTGATGATGGCATGATTTGACCCTTTACCAGTGCTCACTTGGTCGTTTGGAAGGATACCCATCTCACTCTCGTTGTCACAATCTGCTTTTGTCCCCGAAAGTTTTCCACTTTGATGGCTTCCGGCTCCTTGCATCACGAAGCTGTTTCCCGTGTTCTTCGTGCCCATGACACTGGTAGGAAGAATTCTATGCAGCAGGTTCTCGAATGTTTTCCGCAGGGGCGGAAGAGACGCTGTGATAGTGCCAACGAAGACCTCGGCGACGGCGTAGATACTTAGATTGACAGAGGTGAATGTCGGATCGGGCGATTCGTTCAGTGACTTCATTTCGTACAGCTTCAAGGCCGATATGGTGGTGGTGCTGCTCTATGTTAGGAAGAAGTTGGCAATATTAGGGGATTGTAGCACACTTACACAAGTCCAAGCAAGAAGACGGCTCGGACGCCCCATATTGTACGTTTTGGCAGTTGGACTCGTGAAATATAGATGAGCGGAGCCATTGTGTATAGCAAGTCCGTCAAAATATTGCATGCAGCTCCAGAATAGCCTGTTATTCATGATGAGAAGGTCCGTTCAGCCCCAGCCTATAACCTAACATACCTGAGACAACTCGTGGTGTCGCTGACCAGCACGACCCAGGCTGAGTACCGGCTACATCCCAATGCTTTGAAATTGGATCGCATTCGCCAAACAAAATGACACTAGGAAAAACGAAGTTGAGACCCAGATGGACAACGACAGAGAGCCAAATCACTGTGCGGAAGGCTTTGGAAAAGTCGAGCATAAAGATGTAGGCGCATACACTGAGCTTGATCAAGGCCATCCCATATAAATTGAGCAGCTGGCCAACCCAGATATAGTGAAGGTATCTTTCGAGATTGGCCGGCGTCATGATTGGATCCCAGACATGTTTACCCCCGCCTACTGCAGCTGTCTTGTAGGTGTATATCGCGCCTACTATGGCAAAAATCTACATAGATATTAGATAAATGTGATTGACCATACGTTGACTGATCTTTGCTTACATAGCCGGTCCATAGTAGGTGATCAGTTACTAGGAAGAAGTGTCTGTTCTTGAAGCTGATGGCCAGGCGCAAAACTACAAAGATTGAACTAAACACAATCAGAGTGATTATAGGTATTCTGAGCGCATCGGAGCGATCGTCAAGCGGCAGATCCTGTGGCGCTGCGGGATCTGCCATGATGCTGGTGTGCGCAGTATGGTGAGATGATTGAGAAAAGGGAGAAGAAAGACAGACTCCCAGCCCCACGAAGTCGCAGTCTTCAGAGTCACTCCTGTACCAGAAACAGGATTATGTGTGAACGGCTGCATGCCGCCAATTGGCAAGATCGACATTGATATTATACTTTACCTTGTGCGGGAACCATACGAGATCTACGGACAGGGCCACCGATGTCAAACGAGCCAGTGTGAAAAAGTCGCAACACTGCATGCAGGAGGCGGCTGTCAACCTTTGAGATGGCTGTGCGTCACGCGGCAACAACGAGCGGTCCCGGGGTCGATGGGCGATGACATGAGTCAGGAGGCGTTTGATTTCCATCTCGGTCTTCCCAATGATCACCCTTCTCCCTACCACATACAGCGGACGGCACAGAATATACAAGTCAATAGTTTCCGTCAATTCGCGTTCCTTGTTTCACATGAACACATACAGCAACACCTTCCGACAAAGTGCACACCACAGGATGAGGTCGACAAGATGCCTGGAAACTCCCTATGTCATCGTATGGTTTGCCAGCTATTGGAATTCATCGCTTGCTGCGAGGCTCTAGAAGCGTTCGGATTCTAGAAAGGAGTTGCTAAGAGCAAAATGTGGTGCCATATTTTCAAGTCGATTGGACTACTGTAGTCTGGGCTCAATCGCTCGCGCGATGACCTAAACCATTACCGGTACCTAGTCAGCGTCTGACAGTCTTTAGCCATGCGATAGGCATGGCTGGACGAGGTTTCCACAATCAATTCATTGATACAGGTTGGTTGATGATACTATCATATGCATTTGCTAGAATACAACGCAGATAGAAACTTCGCACTGCAAAGTGCAATTATGCCACATAGTCGCACACAGGGGATGATAGGGCAGGCTCGCAGCTTGACGGCTGTTCCGTAGGTAGCGGGTTGAGTCAATGGTCACCTTGGCATGATTACAAGCTTGCCAGACCTAGCAATGACGTTCAAGTTTTTGTCTTTGCGATGCGTTTACATATGGCATAAATTGGGTGATATTGACTGAAGAGTAGGCGAGAATTTAAGATTCAACTATGACACTTACGGTAACTAGCAGCCTTAAAGCGCCACAAACGAACGAGTGGCCAATCTTGCCCTTTTCGCACCCAGCTCAGATCTCTGCATCGAGGACCTTTTTCTGGCTTGGAATGATATGTTGACGTACCAATATACTGAAGTTGACAGACAGGAGGCAATACGTGGGTCGAACGAACGTTTCTTGCAGATTGAAGCCTGTTGGTACTGATTCATGGGACCTGTTGATCCCCCAGTATAATGGCACAAATCGAATAGTTCTGATTTGCTGTTCGGCCTTGGGCTGGATGCAAGCAGTGGAATGAAACACAGCGAGTCGCTCTAGCGTGGTATGCCATCGCACGTTGCGCGGGGTTCCTGCAGCACTATAAACGCCACCTACTTTCCCCTGTCCACACCAAACTTTCGACCAGAGCGAAATATCATCCGAACTCTACAAGCCACGCCCAAGACAGGGCTCAAAGGCGTAATCCATTATCCAGGTATTGGACTTGGGGTTGGTTGCGCGTGCTGACTACCATAGGTACATGATTTGGCAGCTTCTAGTTGGCGCCACAACGGCCATGATGCAAACAATAGAGATCGGTTGTGTCAATAATATAGGCCCCCTGATACAGTTATGCCTTAGGCTAAGGCTCAGAAGTGGGCTTACCAAGACATCTAGGCAGATATTGTCTACTGGCCTCGTGAGAGACCCTCACATTCGGCGAACCACCCTTCCACCGAAGCGAGGCGAGCCCTTTGGCTTCTGAAGTTAGGGGTGGCCGACTCACAGCTATTGGCAGTGCCCAATCCCGCTATTAACCTTCTGATACCCTTCGTCTTCTTCCTCCAAGAACCTGTCGGGCCTTTGCCCTATTGCCGTACTCTCTTGCCATTCAATTGGCGTCCGATCCTTATTTCCTATTATGGCTAATTTCATGAAAATCTTATTATTCTCATCACTCTTTGCGCTTTTGGCTCTATTGCCATATTCAACAGCAAGTAGTAATGGCGAGCCTGATATCAACGGGAAGACGTTTGACTACGTACGCAACGTCTCTCTTTCAATGCATGTGAGATACATACTGACATTATGTACAACATATAGGTCATAGTTGGCGGTGGTTTGACCGGTTTGACCGTAGCTAATCGTCTGAGCGAGGACCCCGGCCGTACGTATAGTATAATACAATATCATCGTAGGCTTATATTCTTCACAGGTACTGTACTTGTGATCGAGAACGGGTATAAAGTAGATGACGTGACGACTCAAGTTCCCACTTTTGCGAACAGTATCAATTCGAATCTGATGTACGATATAAAATCCGCGAACGATGCCAACACTGGTGGTTCGCATCCAGTCTTCGTAGGGAATGTGGTCGGTGGCGGCAGTATAGTAAATGGCATGGCTTTCGCCCGCGCAAGCAAAGCCGACTATGATGCCTGGGAGCAACTCGGCAATAATGGGTGGAACTGGGACAGTCTTCTTTACTATTTCAAGAAGTCGACAACCTTCACACCACCACAAGCCTCCAACGTCGAGAACTTTGGCACTACGTACGACGCTTCATATTATGGCAGGAATGGCCCTGTCCAAGTTTCGTTTCCAAACTTTGAGTATCCGGATGTGAAGCATATTTGGAAAGCCTTTAAGTCTGAAGGAATCCGGCTACCCAAGGAGCATGCCGCAGGTGCTGCCATCGGCGCATGCTGGACTCCCACTGCTTTGCAGTCCAAGACACAGACTCGCTCACATGCTCGAAATGCGTACTACGATCCTGTAAAGAGTCGGAATAACCTTGTGCTTGTCACTGGAAAGACTGTCAATGAAATCCTATTCAAGCAAGGACGGTTCACAGGCTATACAGCCAACGGTGTTCAATACAAAACTCGCGACAATGGATCTCTTGAACGTGTCTTTGCGAGGCGCGAAGTCATTCTTGCTGCCGGCTCGATTTTCACTCCGCATCTCCTGCAACTGAGTGGCATTGGACCCAAAAGTATTCTTACGGCTGCCGGAGTTAGAGTCAAGAAAGACATGCCAGCAGTGGGTGCAAACATGCAAGATCATCCTAATGCGAACATGTATTTCGATCTCAAGAATCTAGCCTCACCAAATCCTCTAAGTGGATTGGACCCAGCCTTCAATGCCACGATATGGGCGCAATATGAGACTAATAGAACTGGCCCAATAACTCAAGCTCACGGTAGTAGTCTTGCGTTTCTGAGTCTACAAAGTGTCTCCAGTAAATGGAACAAGATTATCCAAACAGTCACGTTACAGCGGCCGCGGGATTTTCTGCCAGATGTCTACGATAATTCCGCGTTGCTCAGAGGGTTCACGAAGCAACGTGATATCATTGCGAATCTTCATGCAAGCAAAGATGCTGCCGTCGCCGAGTTCCCAATGGTCCCATTCGGTCTGGCTATTATGCGCCCTGCAGCGTCCACTGTCTCGTGGCACAGTCACCTTGAATCCCGATGACAAATACGGAAATCCACTCGTGCAATGGAATACCTTTCAGAACCCAGTCGACCGGCAGATCGTCGTGGACATGATCAGATGGATGAGAGGACATTGGGCCAGACCGGAGCTTGCTAAGTTTTCGCCTGTCGAGCTGAGTCCGGGCGTACAGGCCCAAACCGACGACGAGATTATCAGGGATTTGATCCAACAGAAGGCACTTCAGGCTTCCTTTGCCCACATGTCTGGAAGTTGCGCAATGATGCCCGAGTGGTTAGGCGGCTGTGTGGCGAGTGACCTTACCGTATATGGGGTAAAGGGTCTTAGTATTGTGGATGGAAGCATCATTCCCCTAATACCGGCCACTCATCTTCAAGCAACAATGTACGCGATTGCGGAGAAAGCGGCAGATCTAATTAAAGCGCGCAATGCTTTTAACGTGTTACCAAAATCTTCTGATCTATGGGGCTTCAGTAGGTGGCTTTGAATTGTCTATATATACATCCATGATTAGCCGTGACCATGAGCTCCATGGCACTCCATTCTTGCACAATTATATCTGTGTATATTTATGGGCAGAACGACTCTACTCCATGAATGAACAACCATTTTCAAGCACATGGGCAGTAGCGAACCACCTCGTTGTCATCTACGCTTGAGCTCAGCCCTCGTCAGAAATTGGAGTACCCTCTTCAAATCTCTCACAGGTGGGCATCCGATAGTCTGTGGTCAATTAGTTCGATTTCTCCAGGGGGCAGGGTATGGACGAGCTCACAGTCGCCTTCCGGGCTTTCCCAGAAGTCCGAGTTCTTGACATAGCAGAAGTCTGTCGTTTGACTCCACCAGGTCCCGTTCGGATTGTTATTGGTCACACACTGCAGCCAAACTTCCTGGTCAAACTCGTACAGCTTCTCACTTTCACATTTCTCTTCGGGACAGGAGCGACAATATGCATACTCCTCGCCTACCGTCACATTGATCAAGTACATGACGCCCATGGAGTTGATTCTGGACGCAGTTTCCCGTTTGTTATTATCGCTGGTTCCATTTTCGTTGTTGTGTTTCTCGGGCTCGAGAAGTGGGATGGGCCCACAGTTGTCGAGGTACGTAATGTCGGGCTTGGAATACAGATTCTTCCGTGCGACATAACAGTTGTTGGTCGTTTTCAACCAATATCTTTCCTTGGTAAGCAAGAGTGTAGTCGAATTCAAGCATGCATATAGATGGGTCACTCACGGATCGTCAATGATCATTTGACCTTCAGGATACCAGCAGGTCAACTCCACATCGGTGTCCTCCTTCAGGTACGCCATCGTATCACAATTGAGCTCGGGACAGATTCTACATTCGGTCTTATACTTCAGGGTCGCATCTTCAATGGTTAGGTCCTGCTTTTCAGACTCTGGCCCGCAGTATTCAAGATCTGTCGTATCTAGAACCCAGTCACTATATGTACATGACTAGAAAAAAATCTTTGGTTTGTTTTGACTCACAATCACCGTCATACTCCAGTACATCGTACTGCGTAACATAACACCCTTCCTCACTCTTCAACCAAAGTCTGTCGCCCATTATCTTTGTTCCCCTCGTCCAACATGTTACATTGAAATAATCTTTTTGGCCATAGTAGATCTGATTAGGACATAATGACCGTGGGCATGTTTTGCATTCCGTGTTGTACTCAGCTGCGGTGGTGATGTGTGGTTTCAGCTCCGCATGAACATTGTGGGCCACGACCAGAGCTGCAAAAGCAAAAGACTGTAATTTCGAGCACATTTTTGGTTAGATGCACGAGTGAGGAGAGAAAAAGGCCATGAGTAGACGACGCCAAAGTACAGTTGTGGACAACTAGATATTTACATCTGGGATGCACAGTGAGTCCAGCTACCTACCTGCCATACTCGGCACTCGGCTAGAGCAATTCAGGATCCGAGTATAAATGAGCTTTTATCGATTCGGGTACGGCTGTCAGCAAGGATGCATTGAGAAACACGTACTGGTTTAGGTGCATGTGCCCTGATCTTGGCTCCAATTTCTTTTTTGAAGAGCGGTGGAAGTGGTCCCTTAGAAGTTTGACTCGATAATCTCCAGTCGCATATCGAGGAGTTGTCACTCATAACAGTCCAGTATTGTAAGGTTTGAAGTTTTGAAATCGAGGTGTGGGCTTCTTCAAGTAGGCAATATAGGTACCAGTACATGGCCAATCGCAAGCTGCAGCTTGTATACGACACTGCGGGGTCAGACTACAAATAGCAATCTGCGCATATTGTTGAACACTTCGAGAATGAACTATGCAAGCCCAGATATTGAAGAACAAAGATCAACAGTCACATGATCCTTCTAGTTCACAGCAGATATGTGATGAAAAACGTGGCGTGACCCTTGCCTCTCACACATAGGTAATTTCCAGCCCGAGTAGGAACCTTAGCACTCATAGTAAATTATACAAAAGATGGGCATAAACGGAGCGCTGGCGTTCAAGGGCATTGATGATTATAATGTGGTCCTTGACGAGATAGATATTGTAATGCGAGCAGTCCATTTATGGCCCCCAATCTTGTGCATGCGTCTAACTCAATACGTTTCTATTAAAGGAGTGATCACCGTACTGAGGAATGACTGGGAGATGGATCATTGAATTGCATCCATCGAGATAGAGCTCAGTTATGTAGTGCCCATGCTTGGCTACCTAGAAATGAATGAACAGTACATTCATGCTATCACAGCCCAAACCCAGACAGGCTGTAGGTATCAGTTTAGCAAAAGACTGGCAGCATTTAGAAATAAGTTGGCTATAGATCCCAAGAAGAGGCCCAGCAATGTGGGTTGGAAATTTAGATGCTCGATATGCGGGGAAATGAACAGGGAATAGCTACTTCCGATCACTGGCACGGCAGTGGAAAATGCTCATTCGATAAAAGTATCATAAGACAGGACGCGAACAAATTTATAGATGGGATGCAAAATTTGTGGAACCAGTGCTGCAATGTTCGCCCGAGCCCACGCTCTAATATACCTGAAGAATATTGTTATGTAAATACTACAAAACTAGCTTGATACGCGCGGTAAATCTGCGCTACTTGCTTTTGCTACTGTAAAGTCTGGGCTATTGCCTATTGGAATAAGATTATTCTTTCTTGCTCACGCTTCTTCCACCTTGTTTAACACCAACTACCATCTTTTACATGATGGATGGGAATGATTAGGTCGCGATCCTCGGTGATCAAGATATATTTTTGTTGATCGCTAGAAATGCCATATGCCCTTGCGTAATGCTGCTAATCAACCCATGCTACAGGAGATGCATCATTTGGGATACAGTCCAAAGAACCATTACATACATGCAGCCGTCGTTGACCCCATCGCCTAGCTCATACAAGTTATGGCTGTATGCATATCCGCATAACCCTTCCAGGTCTCAAAGTTGGGCTCCTCGCCTTGTCCAATTCAAATACAGCAAGACTGCGGGTAGAGTGCTTTGAGAAGCTTGATTTAGGGTCGGCCTTGTCAATGGGCGGATCCGCATCTAAAGCGTATCGTATAAAAGGAGCAGTATCAGAGTTTATAAATGTGGTGCCGTCGTTCTGAATACAATTGGAGCATAGGAAGGTATACGTCCAATGAGTACTGTTAACGTATGTTCCATTCGCAATAGCACCTTGGGCAAAAGTTCCAGTAGTTACTGCGGGAGAGCTGTGCGTGCTGTATGTCACGTCAGCTTGAGTCTGCAAGTTTGACTCCCATAGTGGAAGACTGGACTGACGCGGTCATTCTGAAGCTTCTAACGATCGTTTGCGCATTGGGCCACGCCACGATCAATAGTTTATTAATCATGCTACCCGCAAGGCTAACTCCACTCCATCTTGTCCCTTTGCCACCGATAGTCGCGATCAAGTCCGAGTTTCCAGTGCTGTTCATGGGAAGTGCAAGGCCGAAGAAGAATCCGCTGGTATGAAAAAGGGTGTTGAAAGTGATGCCGGACGGAGCTGGCGTCTGCGCAACGGCGACAGAGGCCAGAAAGCTGAGGAGTGGTGTAAAGATTCTCATGATTGATGCTCGCAGACTGAATTTCCGTGACCTTGCTGGACTCTTGTTTCGTTGCCGTGAAGAATTTTATACAGTATTCCAGCTTTTGTGTGGCTTGTTAAGTGAATGATGATACAAACAGCGCATATACACACTAGCCAACGTAGGTAATTCGTTTGCACGTCTGCATGTCAAGATATTACAACACATGCCGAACCTATCACCGTCTCCCAAATAGTGGGACTGCTTCCTATTTCACAGCTAATCGCTTTGATGCAACTGCTACCTAATTGTTAGTAACCTGAAACACCTAGATAAAGATCGGATGAAGCCACACGACCCTTCATGGTTTCTTAATACCCTGTTAGAAACGTCGACAAGCCCAGTGATATTTATATCAAAAATTAACTAATATAAGAAACATTACGGCGATCTGCCATGTACTATAATTCTTAAAGGACACTACGGTAAAAAATTCTTTACTGTAGAATAGTACGCTAGGGGTTTACTATATAGGTGTAAACTAACCTCGTGTATACCCGTAAATAGGTTTAAAGTGGTGGTTTACTTTTATTAAAGTAGTAGTTTACTTTTATAGTAGGGGTTTAAATTAAGTATAAAAAGTAGTTTTATTTCTATTATACGCTATAATACCTAACTAAGACTAAAAGGGGTAGAAAAGATTAGCTTTACGCTATACGCACATATGACATAATAATGAGTTATAATATTTTTACTAATAGGAGGTGGTGATAATAGAGGTGGTGATAGAGGTGGTGGAGGTAGTAGAGGTGGTGATAGAGGTGGTGGAGGGTGTGATAGAGGTGGTG